TTTCTGTAAATAAAATATCAACCCCTAACTCGACGGACGTCAATGGAAAGTCGTACCTAAACCGTTCTAATAGTACACTAAAAACGTACGTTTCGAAAACCTAAACAAAAACCGTGTTTAATGTATGTACGTTGCCACACAACTTAAAATACAAGGAAAACTAAGGATAAATGCGGGCCACGAGTTTGATGCTTCTGACATCGGGCCGCGAGTTTGATATTGTACTAGGAAGAAAATATATACAGGGTGTTTTTGGAACGCTCCCGAAAACTAAGACAGGCGACAACACCAAGTATACCTTTGATCATGGGTCACAAATAAATTCGATCCTGATGAAAAAAAAATCATCTTTTTACAAGGTTTTATTAGCTTTATTCACGCGCCATCATGTTAGTACAGCTAAATGAAACGATAATTTCATAAAAAATATCATGAAAATACTGAAACATAAAACCAGCAGTGGAATGACTGAATTGATATCACCTGACCTGAGCTAGATAAAGGTCAATGTACGCGCGAACACAAATTCGCGTGGCCCGCAACTAGCGGGCCTTCCCACAATACCTAATAATTTACAACACGTGTCTAAATACCTAACTTATCTACTTAACCTACTATTTTGCCACTGTGCTTATCTCCACGTAGCCACTTTAATCCGAATTTACAGGTTAAATAACCCAAATAACTAGTTCGATTCCCCGCTAATGAAGAAATACTTAAATGAAATGTAACCAAGGTTGGAGTCATGCGTTTTTATTCATCGTGTAGGTATGTTTATTATTCTCGTGTATTCAGTTATGTACCTATTCAGATTAGTCTAGTACTAAGTTATTTAAAAAAAAATAGTTATGAAACAGCTTACTGCTCTAAATCCTCCGTGGTCTTATGAGATGCGGCTCAAATTGTGCTCCATTCATTTCAAGGCAGATTTGGGTGCAGGCGGGGCATCATCGTGTGGTCTTCGACACAGTCCGTACGTAGTTTCTCGAAAGCATCCACGATCCTTTGGCGCATTTCTTCAGCACTATCACATTCACGATTAAAAACCCTTTCTTTCACATACCCCACAAAAAGAAGTCTAACGGAGTCAGATTTGGTGAGCGAGGTGGGCAAGCGTGTGGTCCTAGTCTGCCGATCCAGCGATCATCAAATAGCTCATTGAGGCGCTCACGGACGAACCTCACGAAATGTGGAGGGGCACCATCATGTTGGAACTATGTGCGGCGATATTCAGCCAACGATAGGTCGTTTAAAATGTCAACCAACTGTTCATTTATAAAGTTTAGGTATCGCTGTCCGTTCAGTCGCTCTGGCAGAAACACTGGTCCCAGTATGCGATCCTTAAATAAACCTGTCCATACGTTAACCGACCATCGGGTTTGGTGCCCGGTTTGTCGAACAGCGTGCGGGTTAACCTCTGAATACACGTGTGTATTTCTTCGGTTCCACAGGCCGTTTCTGGTAAATGTCGACTCATCCGTCCAGATAATGTGCTCAATGGAACCAGGCACACGTTGTTGCTGATATAATAACCAACGGCAGTATAATAACCACTATAAACGTACGCGTTAGGCATTATTAAAACAAAAAAGAATCCAAAAACGTAACAAAAACTTTAATATCAACACGTAATCACAAGTAAATTTATTAAACAAAACGATTGAACTGTCGCTCGCGCACGCGTGTACAAAATCAACACGGAACTGTCTCAAAAACTAAAACGAACGAACCCCGTCAAGGCTGAAACCTACTGCGTCACAAGCGTGAGGCGACAGGGTTAGGCATTCTGCCGTCATAATAAAAAAGGAAGTAACTAACAAAAACGTAAAATGGAAATAAAAAATAAATTGATGAATTTTTCTTTCAGACCCCGTGTCTAAAGTATATTAAAAGGTATCTATATTGAAATATATACGTAGAGACATGAAGATTTTAAGGACGAACTTATTTTTTTTTTAATTTGTTTATTTATTTAAATAAAACGAATTTTCCTTTTCATCTTAGATTAAAAAATACACCTGGCAACACAAAAACATCGAAGGAAAGACGGATATAACTATTTGGGACTTCCCAACCTAATAAATAAAACAAAACTACCATTCATTTAACATTTTTACATATTTTGGAAAGGTCATTTGAAGTTGAGAGGACGCTAATAGTAATTTACTACTTTTTTCTTAGTAAATATTAGAAAAACATTGGTAGTGAGACACAAAAAATAACAACCCGCAACTCTTGAGTAATGATTTTAAAGGGGATATCATACAAGACTTACTACGATAATAATTAAAAATTAAAACATTTGTACAACCGACTTTAATATAAATAATTGAGGATAACTCAAAAACTATTGGTCTGACCTCGATCAAATTTATATGGGACCACATGTGAAACACCAGCTCTTAATAGAATAGAATAGAATAGAATAGAATGATTTTTATTCAATAATAAGATATAAGCTCTTAATAATAAGATATAAAATAATAAGACAAGAATAATTTAAATTTAAGTAATCGATGCAAATATTGTTAAAGATGACGTAGCAACTGGTTAAATAAGTCTTTTCTTTTATGTTGAATTTGTATAAGTCTTTTCTATTTATTGATATTAATTATAATTTCTAAAATATTGATATTAGTGAATATTAAAAAAATTTAGTAGATGCGTCTTCTTATCATGAGTCGAATGGTATATTTAACTCATTTATTCGAAAATTGTTAGATGCGCCCTTTTTTCTTATGACCGCAGTATTGTTTCATACCGAGCTAGATACAGGTCGACAGCGGAGTGAGTGTGGGTACAGTCGCGTTCTAAAGTACTACATGGTATTGGGCTATTGTTTTATAATATTATAGTAATTGTTTTATTGTAGAATCATAATAGGTGTTTACTAGCTACTTAGAACTTTGGAAGAGGTGGGAATTAAAAATAGATAATGTTTACTTGAGCATTGTTTCTTATTTCTATCGTAAAATATAAAGTAGTTTGTAACAAAAAAACTTAAGCTAAGGGTGACACGCCGTCCATTATGACGTCTTGGGTCACATGGAAGCCAGATGTTGATGGTGTGTTGGTGTTACTGGATGCTACTTCATCATCACTTTCATCTTCGCTTGAGCTTCCGTCATCAGGTCGATCACATGGTAATTTTTTCGGTATTCTTCCTCAACAATTTTAACTTTACTGCACAATTTTCCCCATTCACTTTTTCGTTCACTAGTTTAGTCATAAAACAATAGATATAAATAATTTTTTTTCCTTCCTTTTTAAAACATCGTCGCGAGTCGCAAAGTAAGCTGTGTATGCGACTGTATTTTTGGAGCGAACAAAGCGCGGGAACCAATAGCATGCAGGCACAGTAATACTGGCCAATATGTGATAAATCGCTCAGTGCCCAAGTTCAAGGCCAGCGTTCTTTTTTCACCGTTCGCGCGTACATTAACCTCCATTAGTCAGGTGATATCAATTCAGTTTCCACTGCTGGTTTTATGTTTCAGTCTTTTCATGATTTTTTTTATGAAATTATCGTTTCATTTAGCTATACTAACATGATGACGCGTGAATAAAGCTAATAAAACGTTGTAAAAATATGTTTTTTTTTTCATCAGGATCAAATTTATTTATGACCCATGATCAAAGGTATACTTGGTGCTGTCGCCTGTCTTAGTTTTCGGGAGCGTTCCAAAAATACCCTGTATATTTGTATATTTTGCCATATGTGTATTTTGCGGCTCGCCAATACAGTCGGTGTAAAAGCACCGCACTGCGCTGCTACTAGGTGTTAGGTAGTTGGCAACTTTGGCAAGATCCTATCTATCTGAACAATCAAAGTAGACAAGTAGGTATGTTTAGTAGGGCAAGGATAAGCTTATTACTTACAAAAAAATACTTACATCGAAATGGTCTTCACAGCAGTGCGCTTTAGTTTTAGAGCCTATTGAATAGACTGCCTCATTTTTGGGTCCTCAGGGCCATAAAGAGTTTATCAGGTGTTTTAACTGTTGAATTGAAGCATTGAGGCAAAATTCCATTTTTTTTTTCATTTTTACCACAGAGAACTTTAAAATTCTGATTTTTACTGCGCTGCGGCGTGCAGACGAGAGCGCGATTGTTGCATGAGCGGCGGTGTGACGTCATCGCATATTGAGCGCCCGCCCGCGTTTTTAAAAATCTTTGTTGGGTAACACGCACTTTGATCGTTAATATCTTAGCCAATTTTTAAGATATGAAAAAAGTAAAAATACAGTTTTTCTCGTATTATTTTGTAGATTTATTTGGCATGTAAAGTAAAAAACGTTTGTCAGACCCATTACCACAGTGTAGAAGTACTGCTTGAAAACGTGGGAATATTCCCTCTCTTGTGGAGTTGAAGAAACCAAGTTTTCAGGCGCGGAAGAGGTTATGGTACTACAACTTTAGAGTTGAAATACAGAAAAAATACTTGAGATAAAAAACAAGTAAAATATTAATGAATATTATTTAAATAATCCAAATGCAGCTCATCGTCTACTTTCTTTTGAAATTTTGATTAAAATTCATTTAATGCTGCTGAAAGGGCTTATTTCCTTTTAAAAATATTATACTATTCTATGGGAATAACACCACTTCCAACTAATCTAAAATTTTTCCCAAAACAATAAATTGTAAGTACAGTCTGGCAAGTATGCATGTATATGGTAGATGACCGACACTCAAAGCTCCTGTCATTTTGGGACAATCTGTTGTTAACTGTGTGAAATTTCCGTTGACAAAATACAAAATTTTCGCTATTTATGTGTATATATAACGTAATCACTATAGTCGGTTCAGCAGTGTGGACTTGAAAGAGGCAATGTATGACAATGATATGTATGTAGGGGATACCAATAAAAATCCATCATTTAAATAATAAATGTATTCTTATAGAAATTTACTTCAATACGTTATTTCTACAATACGATGACATTACAAAATTACGCATGTAACTATACCAAGTAAATTTTTATTTGCACGAATTTTTTTTAAGCTACAGCAACGTTGTGATGCATCTTGAGATAATACAGCTGCGCTTGCGACTCCAGATCCTGGAGCGCGCGCACTACTGGCGCCATCTGCGTCACGTGATCCTGAAATTATATACAAGTTACATGACGTGGTAACTCACGGGCTGTGCTTCGTTTCCTACTACGCGAGAAACCTGGGTTCGTTCCCGTCGACACCACCGATATGATAATTGTTTTTTAAACTAAAGATGCATTCATCAGGTAGATGGCGGTACGTGCATATAAATAGAGCATGCTAAAAGAAGTTGCATACTTTTATTTTATGAAAATAAGACGTAAAACAGGAACATGGCAGTGGTTCATATACAGGCTGTGGCGTAATGAATGGATAATATGGTACTTGCGGGTAGAGGACATTGTGGCGGTTCAGAAAAATATGTTTCATGTTTAGTAAAAGTCCCTCGGTTTTCGAGATAATTCGACATTTTCGAAAATTCAAAATAATTACAGCCTTTGCCACTCTTTTGTGCGAATGTGAATGCGAAATGCGTGTGCAAATGGCTGCACAAAAAATTACTGAAATGAGACATGCAAGCAAAATAAAGCAATCATTCATTAGAAGGTGTAGAGCATGTATTAGAGCTCATGGTGGCCACTTTGAACACGTTTTGTAAAATTTAATTGAATAAAACGATATTTTAAAGTTGTTATTTTCTCTCGTTTTCCTTCATTATTAAATCCCACAGTTATGAAATCAATATTTTTAACTTAATTTCAAGTAACGAAGTTAATTTTAGCAATATTGTAATAGGAATTTATTTTGTATTAAATGCTGGAAATACAGTGAGTTATACCATTTCGGAATCTCAATAAAACAGGCATGTTTTTTCTTAATTTGGCACTCAGGTGACCATGTTTTTTTTACACCACGTTAGGTTTAACTTAGGATAAAAAATAATCAAATCATGAAATTTGAGTTAGATCTTTGTTTAAAAAAAAAACTATGCTTGCGCCTCTAAAATCATAATTTAGATTCGATAGCGCTTCTATCCAGGAATACTATCCAAAAACTTCAAATGAATTCCTTCATTTGCCACGAAAAAGAGTGGCAAAGGCTGTAATTTTCGAAAATGTCGAATTATCTCGAAAACCGAGGGACTTTTACTAAACATGAAACATATTTTTCTGAACCGTCACAACGTCCTCTACCTGCAGATACCATATTATCCATTCATTACGCCACATCCTGTATGTTATAAATAAACAACCTGTATGTTATAAAAATAGTAAAAAAACTATTCTTTCTTGTGTCAATCCAGGGAGAAACGTTTGTATTGATTAAACTAAAAACCTCCAACTTTTTTACTGTTATTTTTATTAGTTAAATTATATTAATCTTATTATATTTTAGACATGTACAGGATAACCTAGTTTGGGCTGCGGTCTCTCATAACAACAAAATGCTATAGCTTGTAAGATGTAAAAATAACTAGAGTATGTGGGAGAAAAAAATAACTTTATTATTTTTATTTGTACCTGATATCCAGAGCCGATCTGTTTCCTCTTTTCACCATACACTACTTTGCCATCAAATTCGTTAGATGGCACTTTCATATCAGGTTCGACTTGCTGGATTGTTATGTTCAAATGATCTTCAATGTCAGCTAAATACTGAAAATATGAAAGATACGAGTACATAAATGAAATAACTAAAAGTATATACAACATAACAATTGTAGTACAAATAGGAAAATCACGCTTGGCAAGCAGGTTGGCGAATGCAAAATTTTGTCACGTAGACTGTTTAAGCTTTCTGCTACCTATGGTAATCTTATCACCTGTCGAATGGCTCTAGATTTTTAGGTTTATCCCCCATAAGTATACTTTTGGAAAGTCTCGCCTTTGTCTAACTGCAATAAACTATATCCTAGTACAGGGAAATAGGCCAAGGTCATTGCTCAAAATGCCTTACAGATCAACATGTATGAAATGTTTACAATAATGATTACTGTTTTTTAAGCTAAACATTAATATCTATTATTTCGATTACTAACATCTAGAAAAATAAATTATTTCGTTAGAAGTTACGACATTATTAATTGTTCTTATTTGATCTACGGCAAAAGGTCAGACGTTATTTTAGACGCAATCTTATATGATTGTATTTTATATTTTAGAAAAATTATAATATAGTTAATTTTAGAAATTTAGAAGAGCCGTGGTAGCTCAGGGGTTAAGCGCTCGCTGTAAATTTCACAGTACGCGAGCAACCGTGGTTCGATCCCCGCCGGCACAAATGAAATTTTAAGTGCTGATTTACCACGTGCTCGGCGGTGAAGTAAAACATCGTGAGAAACATGCATGTCTGAGAAATAATAAAATAATATTCCGAAGACGTGAAGGTCGCCAACACGCGTAAGGGCAGCGCGGAGGACATTTTCTTGCCCTAAAACCTTCCAAGACATGAGAGAAGGCCTGTATGTTATTTATTGGAAATTTTGTTAACAATTTGTATTTATATAGTTATATTATGTTGAAGTCTAGTCTTTTTAAGTGCAAATTATTATACATATATAATACAATTGACAAATATTTCATAACGTGACACAACACACCTGTGGCTCATTGTACCACATACAGCATCCTTTTGGCCTGTCGTCGATGAGATTTGTGTTCCAGCAGTTGCGTCCTCGGGAAGAGCACCACTCTCCGTGGTACCACACCTTTACACGTAAACAGAATTACCTTTAATTTTAATAATTTCATACACATATTATTAGTCATGTTTTTAGTTTCACTTTTAGGCATTTTTATATAATTATTAAAAAGTCATTATTTCTAAGATAGCAGAGACTACGTGGTAAAGCCATATTACTGGTATAGTTGTAGCACGAATGAGTCAGCTCAACCGGGGAAGGAACACACTCTCACAGAATACCGGCGTAAAATAGCAGCTAAACGCTGCTGTGTTTCGTATGGTGAGTGTAGAGAACCGGAAACCCTTTTTGCTGGAAACGAGGCGTTCCATCATAGTCCTCAGGGAGCATCTGCATTTTGATACTAAATTGAGGATAGATGTAGATGTCTATGGGCCACAGCAACCACTTACCATCGGGTGAACTGTGTGCTCTTTTGTCTCCTTTACCCTATAAAAAAAAGACATCTTAAGAGTGCTGAATGGGTTCCTCATTTGTGCAGTTATCACTACGAGTTCAAAGTACACTAGAGTTTACTTAATTAAAAAATTTACTTGCAAGAACAAGCCCCAACAAAATTATCAAAACTCGTGCCAACTCCTATCCCATACCGAAACATGAACCTTTAACTCCCCATCGGTTGTCGGTTCTTCAAGCTATATGGCCGTCCCATTGCCACTTTAGCTTACTAATCAATAAATAGCTCAACAGATATGTCGGTCACTCTGGTTCTACTGCGGATATCCTCATTTCTGAGTTTATCATGCAGAGAAACTCCGAGCATAGCCCTCTCCATAGCTCGCTGAGCGACCTTAAGCTTCCTCTACGGCCAGCAGTGAAGGATCACGTCTCAGTTCCATAAGTCATTACTGGCAACACGTAAAGGTTGTACAGTATCGCTTTCAAGTTTTGAGGTATACCTGTCGAGAAGATGTGTCGTAATCTCCCGAACGCTGCCCAGCCGAGTTGAATCCATCGATTGACCTCTCGGTCGAAGATGGACTTACCTAGTCGATTTTATACGTGGTAGAGCCATGCTGCAGCTATATTAGTAGTATAGTTGTGTCACGAATGGGTCGGCTCGACCGGGGAAGGACCACGCTCTCACAGAAAACCAGCGTAAAATAGCAGCTTAACGCTGCTGTGTTCCGTATGGTGAGTGTAGAGAACCGGAGACCCTTTTTACTGGCAAAGAGGCATTCCATCTTAGTCCTCACGGGTGACAACGCATCTGCATCTTGAGTCTTTATTGAGGATAGATGTAGATGTCTATGGGTCACATTAACCACTTACCATCAGGTGGACTGTGTGCTCGTTTGTCACCCTATCCTATAAAAAAAATTTACATGCGGCACACTAATTGCTCCATAGCTCTCTGTGATAAAGGCTGTAAATTTTACTTTTTAAATCAAAAATATTACCTTTTCTGGTACCGAGGAGACGAGACTTATAGCGAGACCCATACGTTCAGCACGACCAACACGACCAATGCGATGCACGTAGTTAGACTTTTCATCCGGCAGGGTGATATTGATCACTAGAAAGAGTTTTATGTTTCCTTAGTAGCGGCTCATTAATTTCTTTAACTATTTTTGATAAACAAAATCTGTTCTTGATCTATTTAGCAAACATACCAACTGTAAGTCTTATGTATTTTTATCCTCTATTTACTTAAAAAATTCTTTTTTTTATAACCATCGTCTAATCTAATAACGTAATAAGAGTCATCGTCATCGTAATAAGAGTAGACTTACTAATTACAATAAGTACTAGAAGATTTTTGAAAGGATAGCAGTAGAACCAACACATTAAAACTAAAATAAACAAAATATACTATAACATAATAAAATATCCACATCGGCGATAGAAAGAACAGTGAAAAGTTGCGTGACTCCTGGTACCGTGGTCGCCAACTAGCATGCCAAGCGTGACGACAACGGCGAACCCCGACTGCAGGAGCAGACCATGTTTAAAAGTAGACTGTTATCCACTGAGGCCGGAGGGGTGGGGAGAATGGATTCAAATATAACTCGTACGTTGTTTATAAAAAAGCATACATGTATGTATTTTGTATAATTAAATATTGAAAACTTGAGTACATAATATATAATATAACGTCAAAAGTATTTAACACAGAACTACCAAAATAGAAGAGAAAAAGAATAGCGCTGTTAAAATAATAATTATATTTTTTTATGCTTTTAACATCCTAGATAAATTTGCTACTTGTCTCATTTGCCACCAATATTTTACCGTTACAGCCTATTAAAGTTTACTGCTGAACATAAGCCTCCCCCTAGATTGCCTTGGTAAGCAGGATGGAAACTGTAGTTTTTTTAATTTTCAACAGTGGTAGAGCTAAGCGGTAGCTTTTGCTGTCGCACGGATGGGTCAGCTCGAACCGCGGTGGTACCACGGCCTCACAGAATACCAGCGTGAAGTAGAGGTTTACCTCTGCGTTGCGCTTGGTGAGTGCAGGTGGCCGGAGGCCCAATCCCCCCCCCCCCCCCCCCCATCAACATGGTAGTGGAATTAAATAAAAGACTACCCCAGGAGGGTACCCCTGGAGAATCCCTCGCTGAGCATCCACGACCAAACTACTTCACTCCTGAGCGTGGGTGCTCAGGCTGCCCCGCGTATTCTGGGGGGGGGGGGGCCTAACTGCTCGGGGCAAGCGGAGCAATACAACCAAGGCGACCCCTGTCACGCTATCCGTGAATTTTTGCAACATCAGGGGACTTCATTCCAACCTTAAGGCTGTCTATTACCATCTACAGACGGCGAAGCCGGCCTTGCTCTTTTTAACCGAGACTCAGGTGTCCTCTCCGGCTGATACTTCATATCTCTCCTACCCGGGGTACAAATTGGAACACTCCTTTGTGCCCCGGGCTGGAGTTTGCGTATACGTCAGAGAGGACATCTGTTTTCGACGCCTAGGCAGTCGTGAAGGTACGGACCTGTCCATCCTATGGCTGCGCGTAGACAGCGACGACCATCCCCGCGTTTACGGGTGCCTCTATAGGTCCCACAGCGGTAATGCCGACACAGACCGACTCATCGACCACGTCCAAATGGCTACAGATTCCTTGCTACAACAGGTCCCATCCGCAGAGATCGTGATCCTTGGCGATTTTAACGCCCACCACGCCGAATGGCTCGGTTCACGTTTGGTCTGACACAACTGGTTACTTCGCCTACGCGGATTCCAGATGTGGAGGATCATACACCTTCCCTGTTGGACCTTCTGCTGACCTCTCATCCGGACGGATATAAGGTCTCCGTTGATGCCCCTCTGGGCTCTTCGGACCATTGTCTGATCCGCGGTGCAGTGCCACTCACGCTCCAATCGCAGTTGCGATCTGCAGCTTACCGCCGTGTTTGGCACTATAATAGGTCAGCTGATTGGGACGGGATGCGGTCTTTTTTTGCATCCTACCCTTGGGTTTGCTTCTCGCCGGAAGATCCCAGCGTTGTTGCCGATTCTGTTGCTGATGAGGTACTTCAGGGTATGGAACTTTTTATTCCATCCTCTGTGGTGCCCATCGGAGGCAGATCCCAGCCATGGTTTGGTCGCTCCTGTAAAATAGCATCACGCTATAAGCAGGAGTGCTATCGGGCCTGGGCTGACGCATCAACGTCTGGGGATGTAAACACCAGCGCACTTAAAAAGAAGTATAATTCCGCCTCCAGGTCCTTCAAAAGCGTCATTGCCAAGGCAAGGTCTGAGCACATCGGCAGAATTGGCGAGAAGCTAGTTCGCCTACCTTCGGGAACCCGTGCATTCTAGTCTCTCGCCAAGGCTGTCCAAAAGAACTTCTGTCAGCCATCTCTTCCATCTCTGCACAGAGAGGATGACTCACTGGCCCATGCCGCAAAGGAGAAAGCCGATCTGTTGAGCTCTCTTTTTGCGTCCAACTCGACTCTAGATGACGGGGGGAACACACCGCCGACCATCCCGCGATGTGGGTGCTCCATGCGGGATGTGCGGTTTACACAGCGCTCGGTTCGCAAAGCACTCTTCTCCCTGGACGTCAGCAAGTCGAATGAGCACGATGGAGTCCCTTCCATTGTGCTGAAGACGTGTGCTCCGGAGTTGACACCGGTTTTAACGCGTCTTTTCCGGTACTCCAACTCCCAAGGCGTAGTCCCGAATTCATGGAAGACAGCTGGTCCACCCGATCCCTAAAAAAGGCGACCGCTCAGACCCGTCCAACTACAGGCCTATTGCCATCACCTCCTTGTTCTCCAAAATAATGGAATCCATTATAAACTGCCAGCTCATGAGGTACCTTGAGGATCACCAGCGGATTAGTGACCGCCAGTACGGTTTTCATCGAGGTCGATCAGCTGGTGATCTTCTAGTCTATCTGACTCATAGATGGGCGGAGGCAGTAGAGTCCAAGGGGGAGGCATTGGCCGTTAGTTTGGACATAGCGAAGGCCTTCGATCGGGTCTGGCACAAAGCGCCTCTTTCGAAGCTTCCTTCCTATGGGCTTCCCGAAAAATTGTGCAAATGGATCACCAGTTTCCTTGCTGATCGGAGCATCAAGGTCGTAGTAGACGGTGCATGCTCTGATTTCAAGCCTATCAACGCAGGTGTTCCACAAGGCTGCGTGCTATCACCAACGCTGTTTCTCCTGCATATCAATGATCTGTTGCTAACTGGTAGCAGTCATTGCTATGCGGACGACAGCACTGATGATGCCTTATATACCGGCCGTGCCAATATTTCTCGGGAAAACGTCGCTGAGTACCGGGACAAACTTGTGTCTGAAGTCGAGTCTTTGCTTAACAAAGTCTCGGTTTGGGGCCGTCTAAATCTAGTCCAGTTCAATCCCTAGAAGACACAAGTTTGCGCGTTTACCGCTAAAAAGAACACCTTTGTCGTATCTCCTCAGTTTCAAGGCACTCCCCTTGCTGCCTCAGCTAGTATCGGAATCCTTGGCGTCGACATATATAGTGTGCACTTTCGTGGTCACTTGGAAGGGAAGGCCAAATTGGCCTCTAAAAAGCTTGGCGTGCTCAGCAGAGCGAGACGGTATTTCATGCCGGCACATCGCTTGCAACTTTACAAAGCGCAAGTTCGGCCCCACATGGAATACTGTTCTCATCTCTGAGCCGGGTCACCCCAGAGCCAGCTCCTTCCACTTGACCGTATCCAGGGCAGAGCGGTTCGAATCGTCAACGACCGAGTTCTTTCTAATCGGCTCGATACACTGGCACTGCGTAGAGATGTTGCATCTCTTTGCGTATTTTATCGCATCTATCACGGGGAGTGCTCTGAGGAATTGTTCGGACTAATTCCAGCCGCTCAATTTCACCATCGCACATCACGACAAAACTCGCGTTACCATCCATACCATCTGGATGATTGGCGGTCCACCACTGTGCGATTTAGAAGAAGTTTTCTCCCTCGCACAACTTCCTTGTGGAATTAATTACCACCAGCGAATTTTCCGGACCGATACGACTTAGGAACCTTCAAGAAAAGAGCCTACTCCTTTTTAAAAGGCCGGCAACGCATCTGCGATTCCCCTGGTATTGCGGTTGTTCATGGGCGGCGGTAGTTACTTACCATCAGGTGAGCCGCATGCTCGTTTGCCCCCTCTTCTATAAAAAAAAAAATAGTTGTTATTAGAAAGACGCTGCTGCCCATCTCCGGATTTGTTTCTCTCTATCGCCTCTTACGACACCCACGGGATGATATGGGGTAGTGGATATTCTTACACCGCCACTAAACAGTGTACACCGATATACTGGATCTAAGCAATTTGCAAAGAAGGTTATAAGTGTGTGAACTACCTTGCAACAAAGACTATTAAGTACATATTAATGGCAGTGCCCAGTTCAATATGGTAATTAAATTTTTGAGTCTTAATTTAAGATAAATGGTGGACTGTGTGGCTTATCACCTTCACTTCTCATTAAAAGAAAAACTGTACATGTAACTAAAACAATACTTTATATGACAAGAGAGATATTTTATGTTTGTATTTGATACTTACTAAACGGCAGCCCAGAAATATCAATGCCCCTGGCTGCGACATCAGTGCAGATGAGGAACTTCACCTGGGCCTGTTTGAACTTCTCCAAGTTTGCCTTCCGCTCGGCGGGCTTGCGGTCGCCGTGCAGGCATACACAAGAGTACTCGTTGCCGAATGAACGGAGATAGCGCTCGAGGTTGTCACAGTCGAGCTTTGTGCGGCAGAAGATTATAGCCCTGTTAATGATAAGATTATTAAAGTAAGTTTATCAATATATATGGAACGATCATTTTAGGACAGATTGTAGTGTAGTGTGTGCTTATATATATGTAGGATAGAATAAGAGAGAGTTAGTATTAAACCTACCGTCTAGACTATTGGACGTTTTATTTATTCCCCGAACCACCCAACACTACATGGCGACCCTGCCAGTTCATCGGCGGTCTGCCTGGGTTCGGTCGCGGGCCGCGTTTAAAAAAAAAAAAATGTGTCGTTCTGAAGTCAAGAAAGACCAAGTATTTATTACGCAAGACACTTCAGGAGGCTCAAATTCTGCACATGTAGAAGAAATTAAAAGCCACCTGTCTGGGATATCCGTCGTGCTGATTATAATATGCACAGTTTTGGGCTTGGCTCTTCTCTATGGTGTATACAAAATATACAAAAGTTGCCATACAAGCTGGATGCGGAATGAGATGGTAATGCACAATTTGCGTCGTTCTTTTGTGCGATCACCGGACCCAGGACCTCGTGTACCCCGTGTATGCTGTGAGTGCCGCCATGAGGACCGCCGGGAGACAACGAAAGCGTCAAGTTGAAAAAATGAGGTTTAAATTGAAAAATATGTTATAGTTTAAGTTTAAAAAAAAAAGGAAAAAAAAATAATAAAAATAGCCTTATATGTATGCCTTAAACCTTAAAATATTTTGACAACGATATTTCTTTTAACTGTACTTCCATGTCTAGTGAATTAATAATAATATATGAAAAATTTAAAAATATTAAAAATAATTTAGTTAAATTAAGTTATGATAAGCGAACTAAAAGCATTTTGCAACAAAAACTTAAGGAATCAGTACAATTACGTAAAGAATTTGATGATTGTTTGATAATTTTAAATAAAGAGATAGAAAGTAAACAAATTAAAAGTAATGCATTAATTGAAATACAATCATATTGCGATTTAATTAAGAGTTTATATGGACAAATAGAAAACTTTTGTAGTAAGGATTACAGCTCTCAATCAACTTCCAAGGGCACTATTCAAAGCGAAATATTCACCATGGAAAGTTTCGACTTTAAAACTGCTGTGTCACTCCTGCCAGTGATGACGGGCGAGGAATCGGTCACCAAAACCTTGATGGACTCGATAGAGTTATATAGCTCTTCGCTTAAAGAAGAAGGTAAGTCTATGTTAATAAAATTTGTGTTAAAGACTCGTTTGAATGAAGGTGCTAAGTTACGCCTATTAGATTCCTATGACTCATGCGAGGTGCTTATAAGTGATATGCGGAACCACCTTTTAACAAAGAAATCTTACACTTCCATTCATAACGAACTAATGCAAATAAGACAAAATAGTAGTTCCCTAGATAATTATGGCAATAAAATCGAACAATTATTCGTAGATTTTACGATTTCCCAAGCCGATGGTGACCAAAACGCGCATAAAATTTTACGTCCTATAAATGAAAAGATCGCTATTAAAAGTTTCACAAATGGCTTGCGAAACCGACAACTCAGTATTATTTTGTCAGCACGCAATTATAGTACGTTAAAAGAAACAATTAGAGCTGCAAAGGATGAGGAGACATCTAGTGTTCGACCTAGCGAGTACACCGAACCATCGATTTATTTCGGAAATCGAGGTGGTTCAGGAACGCGTAAAAATTTTCGTGGTAGGTATACATCCAATAATGTACCACGACAAACATATCCTTGGCATACCCAAGCAAAAAATAATGTGAATTGGAGGAAACCGGTACCCCAAAAGTTTTCGTGTGGAAATCAACAACACCGCGGGAAAAAAGGTAATTATGGTGAGTACTCATACCAGAATCGCGGATCTTTTCGTGGTCAAAATGCCCAGCGAGTTCATTTTATAACACCAGAATATCGCGTATCGCAAAGTTCTCAAAATATTGAAATTAACCCTAATAACGATAATAGTGAAAATAACCTAGAATTTTTTCGAGACCAATAATATATTTAGTTGCGAATATAGTAATTGTGTTGAGTTAGCAATAGATGGTATCAAATGTAGATGGCTCGTAGATACCGGCGCTTCTTTATGTGTGATTAAATATGACACGCTTAGTAAACTAAACATTTCATTACAAAAGAAACCGATTACAATAAACGGAATTGGAGGCAAATTACGAACCGTGGGATTTGTTGATTTAACATTGTCTGTTGACGGGCTGAAATTTAATAATAAGTTTCATGTTATAAAGCAGTTGCCGTGTGAAACTTCTGGAATTTTAGGTATAGATTTTTTACGTAAATTTAATTGTAACATAAATTTTGAATTGAATACTATTACACTGCATAATATGAATGAATTAGTAACTTTGCCATTGCATATGGGTATTTTGGGAAATAATAATTATTTGAGTATACCTCCGAGATGCGAGAATTTATTTTATATCAATGCGAGTATGATAGAAGATTGTGTTGTCTTTCCGAAAGAGTTATGCGAGGGAGTATTTCTGTCTGGTGGAATTGTCAAAGCGAATAACGGGAAGATACCAATAAAAATATTAAATACACGAGAGGATCCGGTCAATCTTAGTTATTTTAGACCTGAAACCGATAGTTTACATAATTATTCTATTTGTAAGTTTGATAAAAGTCTCATTGATCCCGAACGCGTTCATAAAATGTTAAATTTATTAAATTTGGATCATTTAAATAAAGAGGAAAAATCTTCTATTATACATATTTGTGCAAAATTTTCCGACATATTTTTATTGCCAGGAGATCAATTAACAACTTGTAACTTATATGAACATAATATTCAGTTAAAACCTAATATTGACCCAGTGTATGTAAAACAGTATCGATTACCCTATTCTCAGAGGAACGAAATAGAAACACAAGTCAAAAATATGTTACAAGACGGAATTATTGAACCAGCTTGCAGTGAGTGGTCAAGTCCTGTGCTTCTTGTACCCAAAAAGCCAGAAAATGGTGAGGACAGGAGCTGGCGCTTGGTTATCGATTTTCGAAAATTAAACAACTGTATTGTAGATGACAAATTTCCGTTACCCAATATTACAGACATATTAGATTCCTTATCAGGAGCAATGTATTTTACCCACCTTGATCTCAATCAAGCTTTTTACCAATTAAGCCTTAATCCATCTAGTAGAAGGTATACGGCTTTCACTACACCCTCTGGTCAATATCAGATGACCAGAATGCCAATGGGCTTAAAGACAAGCCCAAGTTCCTTTTCTCGTGCTATTACAATATCCATGGCTGGTTTAAATTACGAAAAAGCGCTCACTTATTTAGACGACCTCATTTGTTTTGGCAGAAACTTAGATAATCATAATAAAAATTTAATAGAAATATTATCACGCTTAAGAAAAGTAAACTTAAAGTTAAACCCGAAAAAATGTGTTTTTCTAAAAAAAGAACTTCTTTATCTTGGCCACATTGTTTCTTCCGAAGGTATTAAGCCTGACCCAAAAAAGATATCAGTATTACAAAATTACCCAATTCCTCAAAATACCAACGCTGTAAAAAGACTAGTAGCGTTTGCGAATTACTATCGAAGATTTATACCAAAATTTTCTGAAATCGTTTTACCTCTAAACAATTTATGTCGCAAAAATGTTAAATTTCATTGGAATAAAAACTGTAAACTATCTTTTTCAACGCTTAAAAATGCTTTAACGACTCCTCCCATACTTCAGTACCCAAATTTTGACCAAAATTTTATTTTAAAAACTGACGCGTCTGGTTTTGCTATAGGCTCCGTTTTATGTAATCATGACGGACGACCGGTTGCATATGCTAGCCGCACTTTAAACAAAGCCGAGAAAAACTATCCTACTATCGAAAAGGAATTATTATCGATAGTATGGGCAGTAAAATACTTTCGACCTTATTTATATGGACGCGAATTCATTATTGAAACGGATCATAAGCCTCTCGTATATTTATTCAACATGACAAATCCGTCAAGTAGACTTACGAAGTTTAGGTTATTGCTTGAGGAGTATAAGTTTGTTATCAAGTATGTAAGGGGAGCTGACAATGCAGCTGCAGATGCTTTGTCACGCATCCAAATTTCGAGTGAAGATTTGAAAGAAATGAATGAAAAGGTCATATCTGTTCTAACAAGAGCGCAAAGAAAGCGAATAAAAAACAAAATTGCGCAAGATAAGCGTGACAACCCTACGGAGGATAAGGTTACCACCAACGATTGGACTGATCACCCAAAAGTCGTGGGAACACTTAAACAACCGAAGGATTGCACTGAATTATTATTTGTAGACGAAAAAGAATGGAAAAAGATAGACAGAATGAAAGAAAAGTTCTATTCTAACTCTAAGTTATTTTGTTTTGTCTCAGCAAAGTCAACAATTTATGTAAATCCTTCTTTCCGATCATATTATGCACGAGATGCCTTTGTGAGGGAGTTGGATTGCTTTTGTAATAAGCAAAAGATAGATCGTCTGTATATTATACAAAATAATAATAACAATATATTAATTAGGGAGTTAACTCGTATTATAAATGAGACACCAAATAGGTCCGGACCGCGAATATTAATTTTAAATGGTGTCCATAAAATCGACGATCATGAGACAAAACGTATAATATTAAACGACTATCATCTATTGCCAACTAGCGGTCACGCCGGTATAAGGCGAATGATAAACAATATAAAGAAAAGATTCTTTTGGCCCGGGTTAGAGAAGGATGTGACTAATTATGTAAACCAATGTGACAAGTGTTTGCGATATAAGCACTTAAATAAGCATATAAAAGAACCAATGGTGATAACCGATACGGGATATTCTGCTTTTGATAGAGTTTATTTAGATTTAGTAGGGCCCTTATGTAAAGATAGCGATAATAATGTTTATATACTCACACTACAGTGTGATTTAAGTAAGTATGTTGAAGCCTATCCGCTTAAACATAAGGATACTATTTCAGTGGCATCGTCTTTTATCAATAATTTTATTTTGAGATATGGTATTCCTCGACAAATAATATCTGACCAAGGGACCGAATTTGTTTCAACCGTCATGAAAGACGTGTGCCGTATTCTCAAAACGCAACAGGTAACGTCAACAGCATATCATCACCAATCTATAGGTTCCTTAGAAAACAGCCACAAAAATCTGATGTCATTTCTCAGAATTCAAACAGGTAATGAACCACATAACTGGAGCACTTGGTTACCGTATTGGTGTTTTGGTTATAATAACACTGTACACACGGAAACCAAGTATACTCCATATGAGCTTGTTTTTGGGAAGCTTTGCCGTTTGCCAACTAATTTAACTTTAGATATAGAGCCCTTATATAACCCATATGATTATCCACAACAACTTAGATATAGACTTCAAAAATCGCAATACGATGCAAGAAATAATTTAATTTTAAGCAAACAAAGTAGGAAAACAAAGTATGATTACTATACCAATCCAATTAAATATAATGTCGGTGATATGATACTCCTTAAGAATGAACAATGTGTAAACAAATTTGATCCTCTTTATATAGGACCATTTAAGGTTATCGAAGATTGTGAACCAAATGTAACAATAGATTACAAAGGTAAACATAAGTCAATACATAAAAATCGCACTAGACCATATACATAAAACAATAAAATTGTTATTATTACTATAAATACAAATAAAATTAATTAAAAATTACTGTGTTTACGATTTTTTTTTATTATGATATAAGTATGTTATAGTATAAGAATTTTAATACTTTGTAATGTACACCTTTTATATAATTTTTTTTATAAACCAAGTTATGTTACATTTAAAAAAAAAAATATATTTTTGTAAATGATTTTTTTTTTCTTTTTGCCGATGGACGTGTAGTGTGTGCTTATATATATGTAGGATAGAATAAGAGAGAGTTAGTATTAAACCTACCGTCTAGACTATTGGACGTTTTATTTATTCCCCGAACCACCCAACACTACACTACTTTCTTCTGACTGCGGCGGAGATCGAAAGGAGGCTTATATTTCAGTCAGATATGAAATTTTACATTTTATTCAAATAACAATAGTTATTGAACAAAAGTATACCATACAAAGGATTACAAAAAAAAAAAATACTAACAGAAACACTAAAAATAAAATATATGACAAAGCCGTTTAGCTAGTAAGCTTTGCCTTTTTTATCTATAACAATAAATCACTCATGCATGTCATCAACTGTGAGTGACACCATGTGACACATTATTTACATTTAGTTACACGAGTGCTACAATTGAGTATAATATTATATCCCCTTTTAGTTATTATAAAATTTGTACTGCAAATATAAAGCATATTCAAAGTCACTCAAAGAGTTACTTTGTCGATTTTTAAGATGTAGCAAACTGGCTAAAAAGGACGGGGAGAACGAGCGAACTGTATTTTTTTTTATAAGATAAGGGTGACAAACGAGCAAACAGTCCACCTGATGGTAAGTGGTTGATGTGGCCCATAGACATCTACATTTATCCTCGATTACGAATCAAAATGCAGATGCGTTGTCACCCATGAGGACTAAGATGGAATGCCTCTTGTCCAGTATAAACAGTCTCCGGTTCTATACACTCACCATACGAAACACAGCAGCATTAAGCTGCTATTTTACGTTGGTATTCTATGAGAGCGTGGCCCTTCCCCGGTCGAGCCGACCCATTCGTGTTACAACTATACCGGAAATATAGCTGCAGCATGGCTCTACCACGTTTAACTTTATTACTAAACAAAACTACTGTCTACTGATTATCTGTCTGTCTGTACGAGAGACTGAAATGAGTTGAGTATTTGACTGCTTTGCTTTGAATATTAAAAAGAATGAGATGACTTGAGAAACAATTCATTAAACTATTGCGAGCACTAGAGGGATTATTTCATCTTTCTTCTTCGTCTTATGGGAGCTCTGCCTTTTTCACGAATGCGAATAAATTTCGCCGGCCAAGTGATCGTCTTATATTCCCATGGCGGGGGTCGCACAGTTGACGGTCTCGCACGCGGGCTTAAAGCGCGCTGATTGGTTGCGTGCATCGTACGATTGTGACGGTGTGGCGGCTCCCCTCGCCGTCCGTAACACTAGGGTTACAAAGACGTGACGGTTGATTGTTACGGCATTGCGTTACCAAATAACGAAATCTGCTAAGCAGCGGTATCTACGTGCCCTAGACTAGTAACTTAAAATTATGTTGTGTTATGAGTATAATGTTCACTAGACCTAGACCAGGTAAACTTTTCATAGTGATACTTAGGCAATTTCGTTTTAATTAAACCAAATAATAAGCAAGCCACATGCAGTTTAAGCCTTTCATATTTTATTTATTTATTTTAACTTTGTTGCACAAAATTGTACAAAGGCAGACTTAACTCCTTAACGCGTTCTCTACCAGTCAACCATATAGTCATATTGATCATTTTTAATTAGTCAAGGTAATAAGACATTACAACATTCTGGACTTGCTAAAGAAGAAGAAGATTCACCAGAAGGAAACTACGAAAGCACTCCACATCAACCCACTCCACTCACCTATCCATTTTATGCTCCCTGATAGCCCGCAGACAGTACTCCGCTTTCAGTATTTTAACGGCTTCAGATAGAGTCTCAGGGGTGGTATTGCCACCGCGTATGTTATCCTTTGCGTGGACACCATCCGTTTGCACTGTCCTGGACAAAATAATGTTAAATGCAACACTTGTCTGTGATAGAGACATTTGATTCAGAGTTTTTCTCACGTTTGTGATAATTTTAACAACTGAATCATCAGTTAGATGTATTCATTCAATGACTAACCTTTTTTTATTTTTTAAAATGAGAGTTTACACCATCATTAAAATAATTATTTGTATACTTCAATTATGCATTAAATAAAAAACATGAGTTTATTTAAACTACTTTTCAACCTACTCCAGTCTCCGTCAATTTAATTAACTCTGTTTTCCAGTTATTTACAGTAAGCGAAAGGCAGATTACTGATAAATTACGTGTTTTGATTCTATTTCATTAATCAAGACAAAATTTTAATCAATAACATACAATAAAGTTACGTTATTGATACTTTTTAAGGTTCCAACAATATGTATATATTTTTTTGTATATGCTCACTGGTCTGTCCCATAAATATGACAGCTTTCAAAAGGTATTTCTAATTTGTTGCACTTTATGCTGGAATGTCACACTGCCTGTAATTATCTTGGCTCTTGGTAACTTTATGTTTATATTTATCTATATAATACATAGAAACAAATTATAAAAATGTAACAGAAACAGAAACTTTTTTATATAAAAGCTTTTACAAAAATTTACTTCGCAAATATTTTATTTAAAAATTTTTTGTAAAAGCTTTTATATAATGGATTTCCGCAAAGTAACGCCTGATTCTATTAATTATAGAAACTTTTTTATTAAATATAGATTATGAATAACATAACATATAAACATAAATAACATAAACACTCACGCCTGTCACCCAGAGGGGTAGGCAGAGACTACGGACTTCCATTTGGCGCGATCCTGACACACCTCTCTCGCCTCTTTCACATCCATATATCTACGCATACACGCTCGTCGGTTAAGGGTACTCCTAATCTGGCCCATTTTCAATGTATCGCCGATCTGGTCGATAAACCTTCGTCTAGGGCGTCCCTTCCCGACCCTGCCGTATAGATTATGAATAATACTTATAAAGTCACTGTTTTGTTTAATTACCACTGAAACCATTCGAAAAAATACCTCTGTCCTGGGAAAAACCAGCAAGAAACCCAGCAGGATTTTTTTAAATAACAGCTTACAATCATGTATGTTACACAATTAACTAAACAAAAGAAATTAGAAATAGCTTGGTAGCGATCACCTCATGCCCAGGGGTTGTTATCATCCATAAATTCCTTAATATTACAATAACCCTTTGTATACAAACTTAATTTAATAAAATTTTTTAGCCTTTAAGCAGGTCAAATTTTGTATATTTTATATATTTCTTTCATATTTCATATATTTGTATTCAACCTACTTGCGCATCGTCTCCCATGAACGGTCCTTTTGTGGATCAACCATTACTACGACGTGGTGAACCGTCTCTGGTACGGCATCTTCACCTTTGAGGTCGACCCAAGTCGGGAAATGCATCAGTTTTTCCTATGCAAGGAAAAAAATAATAATTACTGCTTGATATCAGTCTACTAAAGGATTTGTTGTGAATAATTTACATTGACAAGAAATACCTTTCTCTCCATATTTGCATTTATTGTATTATGTATATACAAGAGCAAAAACAGAGATAGCTTAAATACCTTGTGGTATATACAAAATTAAATTTAATACATACAAAAATAGCACTAAAATATATAATAAGAAACTTTTCATAAATATACTTAAACAACTGTTTCAGTTTACCACTTAATAAAATAACAATTTTTTTTCTAAATACCACCTTACTGATGCAGTGGATAGAGGCATGATGAAATACTTTAGTGCAAGTTAACAAATATAGGGATGAAGTCTTTGAAATGCTATAATTGTGATTATATAACATTTGTTTTTCTACATATACAGATATTTTATATCATAATATCTATTCAACATTTTGTTAAGTATAATGAATATCGAATCCTGCAAATACCTTTACATCTCAATTTATTTTAAAGATTCCAGTATATGTAATGTAAATCAAAAGATGCACGATCTTATGGATAAAAGAAAGAAAATGACACAAAGAATTTTTACCTATGAATAAGGTAAGATGAGAAAATTTTATAGCAGAGAAAGATTTGTTTCTGAAGTTAATATCAATATTTAATTTATTTAATTTGTAGTATTAATAAAATCGTTACCCAAAAATGTTAGACGAAAATAGTTCCGAAATCTATTGTCGTTAAACAGATTATTTGTAACCTAATTAATAGATAACAACAAATTTGCGAGAACCCGCCACGGAAAATATCACTTTAGATTTACATACCGCCATCTTCTTAACTTCGAAAGCATGTAATGTGGCAGAGCACACAACCATCTGTAGACGACGGCCATCTGTGGTTATCTTTGGTATCTGTCGATGGATGCGTTCAATCAGCTCCCCGTAACCAGCTTTTAGTAAACCGTCTGCTTCATCGAGTACAAAAAAGCGACAGTGTGTGAGAGCCAGGTATCCTGTTGAACAAATATAAGTTAAGGCCTCTAACAATATAACAATAGAAGTGCAGAAGTTACCTTCTGGTTCTGTACACGGAAATAAATCTTGTTCTCCTGTATTTGATATAATTTGCATAACGTAAGAGTGATACTAGGCGTAACAAGTAAAAAACTATTTCTCAAACATCTTTATCCAACCACTTAATTTATATTTTTAAGTACTCATACCTACTTAAGGTTTGCATCGGACTAATATCTAAACGCAGTTTATTGCTCTAGAGCAGGGATCACCAATTAGTTCAATTGGGGGTCCGTTTAAAAAATATACAAATCTGTCGCGGTCTGTTTGCTAGATGATTAGCACCCAAGATTTAAAATTTCAATAAACAAATGAAATGAAAAACAAACCAAAAGAAATAAGAATGTTTTTTTTTTAATTATGGATACATCTAATTAAAAAGTAATAAAGTACCAAATATTAAGGCGAACTTTTTTTAATCAGAACAATCTGTCTGTAGTCAGCAATTAAGTTGGTGCAAGCTATTGCCATCAAATCTTAAGGATGGTCATCGGAAAGACGAGATCGAAATTTATTTTTCATGTGGTTCATATTGGAAAACGCTGCTTTACAAATATAATATGTTGATCCAAATTGATATTCATTACCACACACTAATTCTATCCAAAATTATTGGCAAAGAAATATCGAATTTCTTTTATTTTAATACAAGATTTTGCATTCTATCTTAGTCCTCAAGGCTGACAACGCATCTGCATTTTAATACACAAACGAGGATAGATGCAGATGTCTATGGGCCACAGCAACCACTTACCATCAGGTGGACTGTGTGCTCGTTTGTCACCCTAATTCTATAAAAAAAAAAAAAAAAAAAAAAACAAGAAAATTGAATAATTACAATTTTTACATTGATATTCTTAGATTCTCTGGGTCCGAACAAAATAGGTCGGCGGTCCGGATGCGGAACGCGTTCCGCCATTTGGTGACCCCTGCAGGTATTTTTTTTTTTGTATTTAATTTACATTTTATTTTTTAGATTTTTTATAAACAATTTCCTTTAACATACTCTTACAGTAATAAGAACATTCTTAAAAAATCTATAAACTTAAACTATTAAATTTGCATTATGTTTGAGCGTTTGCATTGATTCTGAGCTTGTTAGGGGAGTCGACATTAATATTGATTGCATAAGAAAGTTCCTTGACCAAATTACATAACCTAGAAATCGGAAAATTCGCGCCAAACACCGTTCTTTAAAAGGTATAGAGACTAGGTATAATTACAGGCTAAGAAGTGACAACGTATGTGTAGCCTCCATTGTTTGAAGTTGGTTACAGGTGTCCATGGGCCTCAGCAGCCACTCACCATCACGTGAACTGTAAGTTCGTATCTTACTTTAGTTTAATGAAAGAAAAAAATGCGTGTGTCGTGGAACACTCGGTTGGAACGAAGTTCCTTGCGTAGTATATTATTATTGATAAACGTAGGTATTATATTATTGATTAACAAATACGAATAAATGAATTACTAGCGTCTATTAAAATGAAGCGTCATTTGAAATAAAATAATTTTTTTTTCATGGCAAGATAAAAAAAGTGCGAATGAGATGGATATTATTCCATTTCACTTCCTTATTTCGCCGCCAAGGCCGTCTACACTAACGGCGGCTCTTCACGTTGGCCAACACACTGGCGAATGTGTTGGCCCACAATGATGGCCATCGTGTAGAGCGGGTGTTTAAGCTACGTTGGTACGTATTGGAACGATGGCCCACATGTTGGCGCGAGACGGCGGCTCTTCACGTTGGCCAACACACTAGCGAATGTGTTGGCCCACAACGATGGCCATCGTGTAGAGCGGGTGTTTAAGCTACGTTGATATATATTGGAACGATGGCCAACAAGTTGGCGCGAGATCCGTGTGGTGTCGGTTTTTTGCAAAAGATCAAAGGGTTGTGGCAGAGTATTGGCCATCGCGTCCACACGTTGGGCGCACGGTCAGTTTGCTCCCAGAGTGATTGCACGCACCTGATTTAAATTTTATATGCACGCATCGTAACTAGTGTCTACATAACGGCAGTAACAATGACCAATGAAAAAACTTTTCGCTTTATAGAGCCCTACCAAGCCGAAAATTGTTTGTAAAACACAAGTCTTTTTAAAAAAAAATGTTATTATACACTAGGATTTTCTCCTGTATCGTGGAGGCAGTTTAGAAACATAAATTGCATAAGGACAAACATCCAGACCCGGAGAAATTATATGCAGGCTATACAAATACTTGTTCCGTGCGGGATTCGAATCCGCGGCCCCCAGGGCAGCAACTCATTGCTAAGCCACTACGCCACGGAGCCGTCAAAAAATAAAATTTCTTTTTGATCACCCTTATCTTATACACATTCACGTTGTAGTGATTAATTGTGTATTAATTTATTTATTGATGTATTCATTGATTTATTAAATATCTTAAAATCTATAATATATAATATATATTAAAATCAAATTAAAAAGTAGGATACTAAAATCATGTTTTTACTGTCTTTATTATTCCCTATTAGTTACTTTATTTCGTTAATAATACTGTAATTTTTAGCTATGGAAGAGCGAAGTCACCTGTTACAGGCATTATTTTGCTTACTAGGTGACCTCGATCACTGATCATATAATGTAACTTTAATGTTTGACGAAATAAATTATTTATTATTATTATTTTTATTTAAAGTGTTTACGTTTTCTTAGTTAGTTTTTAACAAAACTGGATTAATGGTTACTACCACGGGACTAAGCCAAGTGGGTACCATGAACGTGTTTGGTTATGGGTAGTTATCTGTTGAGATAAATTTTCTAACTATTCAACAAGTATTAAGTAAAACTGCTTTTTGTAATTGAATATATGTAAGTTTTGGTAGATCAAGAGTTTTTAATGATTGATGAAGCGCTTTTGGTATGACACCAGTTGTATAGAGGACTATAGGTACTATAATGGCATTATGTAAGCCCCACATTCTAATAATTTCATGTTTTAAATCAATGTATTTGGAAATTTTTTCATTAATTGTAGTCTGTAAGTTATGTGAATTAGGTATAGCAATGTCAATAATAAAAGCAGATTTATTCACTTTGTCTATTAATATTATATCCGGTCTATTATAGTGTATTGTTTTATCGGTAAGTATAGCTCTGTCAAAATACATCTTGTGAGTGGTATTTTCAAGGACTATTTCAGGTTTATATTTATAGTATACTTGAGTAGGTTGGTCAGTTAGTTTCCACTTAAGGGCAAGTTTCTGGTGAATGATATTGGCTACTTGATCATGCCGATACTTATAATCTGTCTGAACGATCGCTTTACAAGCACCAGTGATGTGTTGGATTGTTTCAGAAGCATTAAAACAACGTCTACATGTGTCGGCGTGGAGATTTTTTATTTTAATGATATGCTTTTGATAATTACGTGTTTCTATGACTTGGTCCTGAATTGCGCACATAAAACCCTCAGTCTCAGGGAAAAACTCACCACGTTGAAGCCATGCGTTCGACGCTAATTTGTCTACGGTAGGTTGGTTCAACTCTTGGCGATGTCTTCCATGTAGAGACTTTTGAGTCCATATGTCAATTTTTGTGTTATTATCTGTAAGTACCTCATTTTTTTGCAATGTTTTATCATACATATTAAGCGGTGTCAATTTATGATCATTCTGTACTATAGCATTGTGTAGTGTTGATATTGTAGTTTTATGATAAAAGTAATTTCTGAGTGTTGTTATTTGTCTGTTATGTAAGTTAACTATGTCTATTACACCTCTTCCTCCTTCATTTCCTGGTAATGTTAGTCTTTGTATGCACGATCTTGGATGGTGTTTACGGTGCTTCGTAAGAGATGTATTAATTGTGCGTTGTAGTTGTTTCAGTTCAGTTTTGGACCAGTGTATTATGCCAAAAGAATAAGTTAGTACAGGAATTGCAAATGTGTTAATAGCTTTAAATATATTTTTAGAATTTAATTGAGATGTTAATACTAAGCGAAGTCTATACCGGAACTCATCTGTTAATGTATTTTTAATTTCTTTGTGGTGAATTTGTTTCGACTGATTATATCCTAAATACTTATACACTCCATTCTCTTCTAAAGATTTGATTTGCTGTCCTGTTTGCAATTGGTGATTGTGTTCATAATGCTGTCTAGCTCTAACCGAATTGATGTTGCACTTATCAATACCAAATTCCATTCCAATATCCCGTGAGAATGTTTCCGTTAATTTAACTAACTGGTCTAATTCATCTTGATTAGTAGCGTATAGCTTAAGGTCGTCCATATACAGAAGATGATTGTTGTATGTTATTGTAACGGGTAACCTATATTTTTTTGAGTTTAACATTTTTGATAAGGGGTTTATTGCAAGGCAGAACCAGAGAGGACTAAGTGCATCTCCTTGAAATATGCCTCTCCTTATTCTAATATAGTCTGTTTCTATCATGCCATCTAGTGTGTCAAGTTTAAGTTTCGTTGTCCAATTGGTCATGGCAGCTTGTAAGAATTGTATTATGTTTGGGTGTATTTTATATATTTCTAAAATGTTTAATAACCAAGTGTGTATTATTAAGTTTTGTTCTATAATTATATAATAAGAATAACCCTTTTTAAAAAGGTTTTGTTTAATAAAATTTGACAACGGTTTCATAGACAGGCTTCGAATATTTTCTAGGCCTTAGTTGTAAAAGTGTTAATTATACCTATGCCTAGGTGTGTTAATGTTTATATAGTTCACTTATCTGTAGGACATTAGTGTATAATAAAGAAATATTAAAAATTTATATTAAAAATATTAAATATAAAAAATAGTGAAAATTAAATAAAAAAATAGTGGTATGCTGTGAATAAATAAACCGCAGCAGCCGTTAACGCATCAATAATCATTTTAATAAATTCGTCCGCACATTGGCCTGCACCGAAGCAAACTGAACGACCTTCCAACGTGTGGACGCGATCACAATTTCTTGGCCAATAACTCTGCCAACACATTCGCCACTGTGTTGGCCAACGTGAAGAGGCGCCATAAGACACAAGGGATAGTGACGAAAAAATCTTACACTTTTTGTCGTATAGGTCCCATCCGTCAAACCCGTACCGTCCGATAAGAAACTTCGTTCCCATAATTTTGGCTAGGACAGAGTCATATAGCACCTTTTAAGGAAATCTAAATGTAAAATAACATTTATTGGATAGAAAATGGCGACAATATAAGTCTAGCATTTTCATAAAAAAGCATTCTCAGCAAGAGCAAAGCAAGAGATAAGTTACCTCCTTGAATGAGATCTTCAAGTCTTCCTGGTGTGCCCACAACTATATCTACTCCTGCATTCAGCTGGTTTATTTGATCCTTCACATTGATGCCTCCGACCACAAGCAATTCTCGCACTTTTGGATTTTCCAAATACTTTTTGAATTTTGTTATTTGATTACATGTTTGTTCAGCTAATTCTCGTGAGGGCTAAAATATATTTATTTATAAATTATCTTACTGGTTGCTGGTTTACTGATACATATCATCATTATCATTACAGTCTTTCATAAGTCCACTGATGAACACAGGCCTCCCCCAAAGAATGCCACAAAGCACGGTCAGTGGCCCATTGCCACTTCAGCTTACTAATCTGTAGGGCTATGTCAGTCACTCTGGTTCTACTGCGGATATCCTCATTTCTAAGTTTATCACGCAGATAAACTCCGAGCATTCAATGATTTTGCATAATACTAATAATGCACTAACAATTACTTCATAATAAGATGGCATCAGTAGTTTGTAGCATATTTATATTATATGTATATATTTTATGCTAAATTACACAAAGGAGGAAATACCTAATACCTAGGGTAGAAAATTACTTCGAACAGCGTACAAGGCAATGGATAACTCCGACCATGTGTAATGAGGTGGCGGATATATATGACGAAAGCGTAAATAAGTCGCAGCTCAAAACCATCTTGAGGAAACATTATCTGTTGTTGTGTCCATAGTGGTGAATGTTTCCTTAATTATTTATGTTATGTTCATAAGTATCGGATATTATTATTGAGGAGTGTGCAACAATAAATAATGTACTCTTTCTAATAATAAATTAAATAAATATATACATATATTCTGCTTTATTCCAACTTCGTTACCTATTTTTCTCATTATTAGTTTACTTTTACTGCACTACCTTAGCCTAATGGTTGACTGGGAGAGAATGCCTTAAGGCATTACGTCAGCCATAAAGTTTAAATAAATCTTTATATATAGAAATTACGTGTCACATTGTTTGTCCACGATGAACTCCTAAACTACTGAACTGATTTCAATGAAATTTTGCACACTGTGTGCAATTGACACTCAATATTTTTTTATTACGAATTTAAGGATTTTTTATATGAAGGGTTGTCGAAAAGGGCAAAACAACGTCTGCCTGGCCAGCTAGTAAATATATATAAAGTATATATGTTCAGTATATATTATGCTTTCAATTTCCTATAGTCAAAAACTGCATTATACCAATGCAACTTACATCTTAAGCTATAACTAATCCTCTCAAAATAAAATTAATAAAAATATCAGACAAAATTCTAAAATGTTGTATTGTATACCTCAATGATAATAGCTTGTGGTGCATTGTTCACAGGTTTGCATTCAGCTGCAGCCCCAGCAGACACTACATTGTGTTTTACATATTCCTTTGGTGCTTGGCAGACTGCAATGTAGTCTTTTGGGGGTGAGTACTGCAACAAACATTTATTAATTTACATTAAATTAAAGTAAATTTGTATCTGTTTTATACTGTAAGAGAGTAGTATGTTTAGTTAACCAGATCTAAATAAAACACTGCATTACCTTAAAAGGTAGAGTTCCAAAATTAAAACTTATCTCAGCATTCTTTAATACCACTGCAGGGAAATAACAGTCTGATTTGCGGGACTGATCTAGTTTAAATGCTACTCCAAGATCTTCACCGTTTTTGGTATAACGAATCTCTCCATTGTTTAAATTTAACAAACAACCTGTAACAAATAGTACCATGGGAGTATAAGTCGATTAATATCTTGATGTGAATATATGTTACTTAAATGTAGGATTTCATTGATTTTCAAAATATTTTATTGCAAAGTAGTGTTAAAATCATATAGCAATTTTAAATATTAACTAAGACATACTTTTGTTTTCTATTTACATTTAAGATTATAAATGTACATACCAATCACATCATTTTTTCCATAAGCACTTCCATAATCATCAAATTGCTTAGCATTGGACTTTTTTCCTGTTCCACCAAAACCAAAGCCAAGTCTGTCTGTACCAAGATCAAGCCTCGCCTTTTAAAAAAATCAATTAATTAAACAGAGTAGAACTCCTTAATTTATTCCTTTAATCATTACAGCCTATTAAATGTCCATTGCAGAATGTAGGTCTCTTAGATTACCTCATAAGGGGGATATTTATCATAATTCCCATTCTGGGCAGGCTAGCTGGTTTTTTATTGTTTTGAGAAAGAGACCTTCTCTTTCAACCTGTCTCTGTAATCTCTTACAACACCTATCAGATGATATGGAGTAGTGGATTTTTTTGCACCCCCACACTACAGGGTCCTTTATTTTAATAGTGAAATAAAACAATAAAATTAATATCACTGCCCAATTGTGAAGATTGTGGAGTTATAGAACACCTCTACCATTTATTGATGGAATGTGTTCGATTTGAGTCTGTTAGAAGTAATTTAATAAGGGTCTTGAATTTGAACAAAACTGACGTAGGCACATTTCATAATATTTTATCCCAACTAAATGCGACGATGCGAAAGTTCTGTTCGAATCCACGGCCCACGTAGTATAAGGCTTCGGCCAAACTGAGGAGTATCCCGCGCGGGACGCGAATCTGCCCAATTCGTTCGCTCGCTTAAGCTCCCAAACTGAAGCGAATCCCACACGTCATTATTTTTGGTTTCTCAACAGGAAAACATGTCATTTGATATCGAAGCTGAGGTTTTATTGTTATTAGCATTAACTAAAGAAGATTCTCAAGACTTTTATTAAAGGATAAGGGTGACAAACGAGCACACAATTCACCTGATGGTAATTGGTTGCTGTAGCCTACAGACATCTACATCTATCCTCAATTAAGAATCAAAATGCAGATGCATTGTCACCCTTGCGGACTAAGATGGAATGTCTTGTTTCGAATAAAAAGGGAAAAATTTAGTAAAAATAATTCAAGGTTCAACAGCATTTCCAAAAAATCAGGCACTATCCCGCGAATAATTCACTGCAGCACGTGCGACTATTCGCGCCAATGGGAACACCTCCATACAAGTTAGCTGACGCAATCGGCGCGAGCGTATGGCGTCCCGCGTGGGTTTCGCCTTAGTTTGGCCAAAGTAATAATTAATAATAATAATAAGTAATAACTAACATTATATAAGCAAGTGATGTATGTTAGGGTATGATGGGGACCGACATATGCTAAGCGGTAAATGTCCCTTAAATGATTGTAGAATTAGAAAAAAAATGCTTCTTATCTAGTTTTATATTATGTATTTGCAATTGATCATTATAAAATAATCTTGACATACTTATATTCTCAAAAAAACATCTTTATATATTTTAGTTAATTATATAACATGTATAAACATGTTATATAATTAACTAGCTGATTCTCGCTCGCTTCGCTGGGTGCACAATAATAGACAATAATAATGTAGATATCAAAACAAAATTTAATGGTACTATCACAAAATCCGTTCTTAGTGAGCATCTACATTGCAAAATGAGTAACTACATATACTAAATTTCAAGTCAATCGGGTGTATAGTTTTAGAGATTACATTTATAATTAAGCTTTATCTCCTTCACCAGCAGCTTAAAACTTGTTTTGTGAAAACCTAGTATAGTAAGGAATTTTAATATATAGAACAAAAGGATTAATATTTCAAATTAATTAATATTTTAAATTAGATTAGTGTCCCAAATTAGTAGGTGCAACTCCAAGAATTAGCACGTATTTTTAGTCTGCATCATCATCATTCGGCTTTGAATTGCCGAGTCCCAAAAACGAAAATGGTCAGGTTGGCTATAGACATCCTGTACTTGATTTTAATTGTTTTCAGTTTAGGAGGCTTGTTATGAGCTTGAATCTTTTACACTGTTTTTGGATATCGGAAATGCGTTTTGATTTATTACGATAAAAATAAATTTCACTAAAAATTGCGTATAATGAAACACAAATATGTCAATTTGGTCTAGTATTAGAAGTAGGCGTCCTGTACTTGATTTTAATTATGTTTTCAGTTTAGGAGGCTTGTCAGGGTTAAGTTTGAATCTTTGACACTGATTTGGATGTCGGAAATGCATTTTGAATTAATTATGATAAAAATAAATTTCACTAAAAATTGTATATAACGAAACGCAAATATGTCAATTTGGTCAAGTATTATGAAGTAACTACGGTACAATTTCTTTACTAATGTGGTAAGATCAAGTACTTAATTTTAGTTATGTTTTCAGTTTAGGTTTGTCAGGGTTAAGCTAGAACCTTTTATACAGTTTTTGAATTAAGGAAATGTGTTTTGAATTATTTACAATATTAATAAATTTCAATAACTAGAAATTGCATATAACGAAATGGGTCACCCATAAAGAAGTTGTCCTTTGCAATTTGTGTTTGTAAACTGCCTCCACAATACAGGAGAAAATCCTACTGTTGGGGTAACGTTTTTTAAAGAAAAAAAAAAAGAAGTTAATTACTCAGACCCAGACAATCCATTTGTAGAGAAGATAGTCACACAATGAATTGAGTTGCAGTGGAGACCAGTCAAAGAGGTTTTTCAGAAAACAAAATTATAACAATTCACATAAACATTGTTTCATTTACCACTATCATAGCAGAGTTTAGGGCAACCTGACTTTATAGATAAGATAGGTCAAATCTGTACTAAAACTGAATCAGAATGTCCCCAATTCCACATAGTCTTGTATGCCCTACCCCTAGTGTCTTTGTAACGCCATAGGCGCAGACGGAGAGCAGCCCCCACCCACTGTAGCAAATCGCAGGAACCAGTTGTGAGCATTAGCAGCTGAGGCTGGTCACCGAAGGAGACCAAAAAACCAAAGCTGTGGAGGTGAGCATGGATGCCTGTGATTTGCTACACAAGGGCAAAGGGGCTGCACTACCCGTAGCACCGAAGCCATTGCAGAAGTATAGTTTTTTTTTTATAGCATAAGGGTGACAAACGAGCACACATTCCACCTGATGGCAAGTGGTTGCTGTGGCCCATAGACATCTACATTTATCCTCATTTGTGAATCAAAATGCAGATGTGTTGTCACCCGTGATGACTAAGATGGAATGCCTCGGTAACCAGTAAAAAGGGTCTCCGGTTCTCTACACTCACCATACGAAACACAGCAGCATCAAGCTGCTATTTTACTCTGGTATTCCGTAAGTGTGGTCCGTCCCCAGTCGAGCTGACCCATTCGTGTTACAACTATACCAGAAATATAGTTGCAGCATGGCTCTACCACATATAAATATATAGATATGAGTAGTTACATTATGATTTTACAAAAAAAATTTATACTCATAAACTATAGATTTCTACAACGGGAGAAGGGTACCCAGGGCTTTTTCTGCCCTTCCTCTCCCCTTCCCAGCCCCGTACCCGAGTACCGGATGTCTTTAGTTTTACCAAATGGTCAGCTGATTTATAAGCAACAGTTTTCAGAGTTCTACCAAAGGGTATATTTTGTTTTTACTTAATCCCTAGAACTTCTCAAGAAAATTCCCAATGGAACTTCCAAATTCATGTCTTGGAATATGTAAGACTGGTGATTAAGACTCGACCTCAAGAAATTTTTGGGACTCAAAAATCAACATAAAGGCAATTTATGCATTATCGCAATATCTACTCACAGCTTGTGTTGACCATCCTACGCGACAAAGACCCTCATCTGTTACTGTAGCTTCGTAATAATATGCACCCTTTGTATGCACGCCTTTAGTAGCTCTACAACCATGCCAGTCTTTAGGATCTCGGGATTGACATCGTAAACCGTCCGGCGTTACGGCCATCGCTTCCGTGCGATCGAAAAATGACATTGTCCATTCCGAAGATGTCTGTTGTATTATTTTACTTGTTTTTCCTTCCTGTATATCCTTTAATGTTTCCCAAACTATTTGTAAGATAGGTAAACAGAATGCGCCGGTCTTGCCGCTCCCGGTTTCCGCTGCCATAAGGACATCTCCACCACCTAAAATTAACGGTATAGCCTCGGCTTGTACGTCTGTAGGCAAATTCCAATCCATCTCATCAATTGCCTTTCCCAATTCGGGAAGGACACCAAATTCTTCGAATGCAGTCATTTTGCAAAAAAAAAATAGAATAATTCGAGAAAAAGTAACCCACAATCAGAATGAAAACGATTGATTTGACCATAAACATTTATATTATTGTTGTAAACGATATATTAATTATAACAGGCAAAGGTCTTCGACCATACAACTTAATCTGATGTAAAAGCTTTCTGATGTGTATTTTATCATATTTTTGTTCGATTATTAATTACAAGTTAGCCCAACAGACGTTATACTGCTCTCTCTGGTTGGTTTTTTTATAATACAGGGTAACAAACGAGCACACAGTTCACATAATGATAAGTGGTTCTTGTGATCCATAGATTTTACACATCTATCCTCATTATAGAATCATAATGCAGATGCGTTGTCACTAGAGTTGTTCAAAACGTTTATAAATCAATAGGACGCTACACACTATACTAGCGCGCTATTAAATACATATAATTTAATCACGCCTCTTTCCCTTAGGGGTAGGCAGAGACCACTTCTTTCCACTTGCTACGATCCTTGCATACTTGTTTCGCTTCATCCACTTTCATTATTCCCTTCATACATGCTCTACGGTTTAGGTTACTCTTGACCTGGCCTTTTTTCAAGATGTCCCTGATTTGGTCTAGAAATGTCCGCCTAGGTCTACCCCTTCCAACACTTTCATTCACACTCGCCTTATACACTTTTTTCGTCAATCGTTCTTTATTCATTCTCTCGACATGGCCAAACCATCTCAGCATACCTTTCTCAATTTTTGTCACTACATCTTCTTTCAGACCACAACGTTTCCTTATCTCACTATTTCTTATCCTGTCACTCAATTTAACTACTATCATACTTCTTAACGCTCTCATCTCAACTGCATTTATTCTGCTTTCATGTTTCTTCTGCCATACCCAACTTTCACTTCCGTATCTACATGAGTGTCGAAACCAACACCCCCTCGTGCACAGCCAAACGAGCCTTGTTAGACACCTTCCGACTGCTCATAAAGGAGTGCAAAGTTCCATTCACCATGTTTCCTGCATTCACTCTTCTTTCGATATCACTCTCACACTTTCCATCTCTTGTAAACTTTGAACCCAGATACACAAACTCTTTCACCTGTTCAATTTGTTCATCTTCAATCACGATATTGCAGTCTGTAACTGCCACATCTTTTTTAAACACCATCACCTTCGTCTTCCTTACATTCATCTTAAACCCTTACTAACAAAAGCACCACTCATAGCAGTTACCATCTCCTGCAACTCCTCGGCCGAAGACGCAAGTAATACTTGGTCATCAGCATGGAGAAAACATTTGACGAGTAACTCACTCATTATCAACCCATTTTCATTCTCTTTTAAATCTGTCAAACAATTGTCCATGAACAGCTACGGTGACGCTACACATTCCTGTCTAACACCTTTTTTGATATTAAACCATTCAGTGTATGCCCCGTTTATCCTTACACAAGCACTAAAATCCCTATAAAGAGATTGCTCGTATGATGATACTGCTCACACCGTTCACGGACAGTGCTGACCATAATTCATTCCTCACCATTCTATCATAGGCCTTTTCTAGATCCACGAACGTGCAGTAGACCTTCTTGTTTTTAGCCAAACACTTTTCGGCTATGCACCGCAAGGAAAAAACCTGATCTGTACATCCCATTCCCTTTCTAAATCCCCCTTGTGCATCCCATACTTTTTCGTCTGTTTCATTCACAACCCTTTCAATCAACACTTTCGCATACAATTTACCGACGACGCTGAGAAGGCTTATACCGCGGTAATTTATGCAGTCCTGCCGTGACCCTTTTCCCTTATACAATGGCACGATTACGGCTTGGCACCAGTCTCCCGGTACTTGCCCATTTCGCCAGCACAGATTGAAAAGGCGGTACAGCTAATTAGCCACCAGGCCCTGTCCAGCCCTCAGCATCTCGACGGTAATTCTGTCATACCCTGCAGCCTTACCTAATCTCATACTTTTCAACGCTTTCACTATTTCATCCATGCTTATCTCATTTTCATCAACATTTATATTAGTTTCCGTGGAAGGTGGCAGATGCTGTACCTGCACTTCCTCTCTTTCAAACAAACTTTCAAAATACTCTTTCCATCTCTTTAACACACATTCTTCTCCTTTTATTATGCTCCCATCTTGACTCCTGATTGTACTCAGCTTCGAGGTAGAAGTTTTTCCTCTGGCTGTTTTGATGGATTTCCAGAAAAACTTAATGTTTGACTGGAAATCTTCAGTGAGCCTCCAATCGAAATCATCCTTTCGTTCTAGACACAATTTCTTTCGCTGCTGTTTTCAATCTTTTATACTTCGTTCGTGCTTCCTTTATCTCGTCATCCGTTGCCTTTTGAACTTTTTGGTTAGCTTTTATTGCTAACCAATCCAACCACGCTTTCTTATTTTCTTGCACAACCCTTTGTACATCTTTATCCATCCACACGTTATCATTCTTTCTTCCTTTCCTTCTTTTAGCTACCCCGCATACCTCAATAGCAACATTCACGACCCCTTTCTTAAATGTCTCCCACAAATCTTCAATCACACCTATCTCTTCTATCCCTTTAAAACATTCTTTCAGTTTCCCTACATACTCGTCTTTATTTTCTTTTTCTTGTAGATTTTCCACTTTTACTCTGTCCAAAACACTCGTAAGCTCGGCCCCTCGGTGTCGCCACCGTTTAAAGAGGCTACGCATTCGGGCTATGACCAAGAAGTGGTCTGTGTCGAGGCCTACACCGCGATATGCCCGAGTGTCTAGCACTTTCTTCCTCAGTCTTTCATCTACAATTACAAAATCAATCATATTTCTAGACTCACCCTCATCTGTTATATACAAATGGATCTTTTTGTGGTCAAACATTGTGTTGGCCACGCACAGATTCCATTCCAAGCATACTTCAAGCAGGCTTCTCCCATTGTCATTCACTCTCTCGTCCCCAAACGTACCCAGAACTCCTTCATACCCATCACGCTTTAGTCCAACTCCTTCATTAAAGTCCCCTAACATCACATTTTCTCCGCATTTATCCAAGACCTCTCTCATGCTATCCCAAAATTCCTCTCTCTCTTGTTGGGATTTTAATGACCCACCTCCATGCAGATCCGTTGGTGCATAGACCCCAAGAATAAACAAGCGAGTGAGTCAGACTTTTAACCTAATCCAGAGGAGTCTTGGGCTTACACATTCATGCTCCATCACACATTCAACCATTCGAGATGAAAGAATCACACCAACTCCCTGACAGCCTCGGCTGGTTTGGGAGACTCCCGACCAGTATGCCGTGTAGGGGCCATGAACCGTGGTGCCATATCCTTTCCTCTTGGTTTCGTTCACGCACAGAATATCAATGCATCGTTCATCCATCATCTGACATACTTCATCTACCTTACCATCCATTCCTCCTCTAACATTCAACGTAGCAAAGCGGCTCTCCGTGGGCAGCTTTTCGCCCCCGCGATAAGCGAGACGTGATGGGTGGCGAACCACATCGCCGCCATTTAGGTTAATTAAATTATTTTTACGATTATCCATTGCGTTCCCACGAATAGCGAGGGAAAGGTTTGTCCCCCCCAGCAGAGCCTCGCATGTCAGGGTAAGGCTAGCCTAATTGTGGGGTCGCCCGGTCCCAGGGCAGTGTGGCACGCTAACGACTAGGCCCGCCCCTAGCCATGCATCCATCCGCGCGGCAGACGTTGGATTGGCGGAGGGTAGGAATAGGAAAAGGGGAAGGATAGGTGGTGTGAAAAGGAAGAGTAAGGTAAGTTAGGGTGGGAAATAGGAAATGTAGGATATTACCGTCCAGAAGGGCAAGGGATAAGACAGTAATAGCTAGGGAAGCCGGGGTCGCATAACCGTATACCATACCACAACTACCAGACAGGTAAATTGGGATGAGTATCCCTCTACTAATCACCACATGAATTATACGTATATACACTTATTTATTGTTTTTTGCTGAAAATTAATTTCAATTAATAAATTGTATAAATGTTACTGAAAAAAATATGTATAGGAATTTAATTAAGTGCCTTTAAACAATATGTTGTGTTAATTTTTGCCTTCTTCCTACTATATTTATCCTCTTCCTTAAAATGCAAGAAATAAATGTATGTATGATTTGTTGGTAACCACATCTCTTCTCTACGATTATTTTGGACATATTTAATACACTTTTCTCGTTTAAATATAACAAGTAAAAAAAGAAGTATTTATATTTTCCGACTTCCAAAAAGGAGACGGTACAATTCGACGCGTATGTTATGTGTGTTACCTCATACGAGGGTGGATTGAAAAGTACTCGGCCTAACCAAGAAAATAAACAAATACTAAATCAGTTATATTTTTATTTTTCTACATAATCACCATCAAGTTCAATACACTTTTGCCACCTCCCCTTCCAAGCATTTAGACCGTTGAAAAAAAATGATTCTTCCTTAGAGTCAAAATATGCGTCTACAGCTGCTTTGACCTCGTCGTTTGTCGAAAATCTTTGACCTCCCAAGTGCTTTTTTAGGTTAGGGAACAGAAAGAAGTCTGATGGTGCCAGATCAGGTGAATACGGCGGATGCGGTAACAGTTCAAAGCCACAGTTGTGAATTTCAGCCATTGACTCTACTGACGTGTGAACACGGGCGTTATCTTGATGAAACAGGACTTTTCTTCTGAGCATTCCTCGACGTTTTTCTTTTATTTCCTCTCGTAAACGACGTAGTAAGGTGCAGTAGTAATCAGAGTTTATATTCTGACCCCTTTCAAGATAATCAATCATAATCACACCTTTCGAGTCCCAGAATACTGAAGCCATCACCTTATTTGCCGACAAAATCGACTTAGCCTTTTTAGGGGGTGGTGAACCAGGTCTTCTCCACTGTTTTGATTGTTGTTTTGTTTCCGGTGTACAGTAATGAACCCATGTTTCGTCCATAGTAACAAAACGATTCAAAAAATCATCTGCATCGGCTTCAAATAACTCCAAACAGTCGCGTGAAATAGTCAATCGCGT